TAATAAATTATATTTGTTTATATGCTTGTTTGACTTTGCTTGCCTTCCTTTCTCGCGAAATCGAAAAAAGCATCGACTGTCATAGATTGCATAACAGATGGTTCTCCGAAAGTATTGAAGAAAAAATAACTACCAAATGCAAAGAGAAATCACCAGCTGTCACAGAGATTGCACAGCAGATGGTTCTTCGAAACTCTCGAGGAAAATACCTTTACGAAATACAAAGATGATTCACTATTTGCAACTGTTGTGACCAGTGGCAGCTGGTTAAGAAGACGTTAAGGTCAGAGTGGAAGATAATCAGGTGGTGTGGAAGGTTGTGTGGAAAAGGAAGAAGGTGACTTCAAGTCCATGAAAAGCTTCTGTCGACGTTTCAACTTCCCAGGCAAAGTGGACATGGAGGCTGTGACTCCGCAATGTCTTCCGATGGCGTGTTGACTGTCACGGCTCCGAAGATTCCACAGGCAGCATAGGAAAACATATTTCATTAACTGGAACTGTAATCTAATCTTAAACACAATGTGTTTAAGGAGCTATTTATTGTTATTTTTGATAATGTTAAAATAAATAATGATTTTGTTATTTTATGAATAAATTGTATTTGTTTACATATACGACTTTTCTTGCCTTCCCTTTTTGCGAAAATGAATAATGGTCTACCGAGCTGTTGCAAAGATTGCATAGCTGATGGTTCTTCGAAAACGATGGCCAAATAGATAATACCACAAGTAGCCTAAAAAAACACATTTCATTTGCTGAAATTATAAATTAATTTTAAGATAATGTAAGAGATTAACTCATTATTGTTATTTTGGATAATGTTAAAGTATATATATATATAATAGATTATTTTGTTTGCCTTCCTTTTATGCCAACTTATTAAAACACAATTTATTGTTTATTGCAACATAGTTTTCATAATAGATGGCTCTTCGGAAAGAAGGGTTCACTTCCGATTGCTATGACCTGTGCTCTCATAATTATTTTTCAATGAAATAGCTAGCGAATCTAACAACAACAAATTAATTAAAATGTATATATTTCCATTAATACATTTGACAAACAGATAAACACACACATATATGTGTATGTCTGTTTGTGTGTTTGTGTACGCATTGGGCATTGTCTGTATATGTATATATATTATTATACACGTATATATACATTAACATACATGTATGCGTAAGCTTATAATTATATACATACATATATATGTGTATATATATATATATATATATATATATTATATATATAGATAGAGAGAGAGAGAGAGAGAGATGTATATATGTAGACGCACAGACACATATACAAGTTCATAATAAATACATGCACATCAATATGAATATATCAAGCATGTGTGTTTCTGTGTGTATATACATATACAAATATATATCCATATATATGTACACACACTCATATATATATACATACATACATACATATATATATTTGTGTGTGTCTATATATATATATATATATATATATATATATATATATATATATATATATATACATATATGTATGCATATGTGATCCCTTAAAGCAGTTATATATTTACATAAATGTATATATATATATATGTGTGTGTGTGTGTGTGTGTGTGTGTGTGTGTGTGTGTGTGTGTGTGTTGTGTGTAGATATAGACACACATACATATATATACATATATTCATAAATATGAACATACATATATATATATACATGTATATCTATCAATATATATATATATATATATATATATATATATATATATATATATATATATATATATGTATATATAGGTATCACTCTATCTGTGTATTTGTACATATACGTAGTATGTATATATTGTCCTTATACACAGGAAAAAAATATTTGTGTATATTAGTATATATATATATATATATATATATATATGTGTGTGTGTGTGTGTGTGTGTGTGTGTGTGTGTGTGTGTGTGTGTGTGTGTGTGTTTATATTATGTATACATTTGTTGTGTTGTTTTTAAATGTAAAAGATGCCCTTATAGATAATGAAATATACCAGTAATGAAGCAAATAAATAAATAGTAATAGAGCATTTGTTGCATAATTGTATCGTACCCATTCATCTTAAGTTGAGAACTAGAAGTTTCACGAGATTTCGACTCATGTTGCCAAGCATGCCATGATCTCCCGTCCAGATGGAGGTGGGAAGTGGGCACACACCCAACTCGCGCCACATAAAAGCCTCAGCAGCCGCCTCTCGCTAGACACAATAGAAATAACGCTCTTTGAGAAAAGAAAGGAAGCTCTTGCTTTATCTACATCACGAGACGTAGCTAATCTTCCTGAAGCAATATACGAGAAATATGGAAAGCAAAAATACTAACGCCCTTGCTGAACAGAAACCAGAAGTTCCCGAATGCAAAGAGGATTCACTTCTCCCAATCGCTGAGAAGGGACTTTTCTTCACGATTCCTTCTTCGAGGATATTCGGAAGCACTTTGAGACAGCCATCGACCAAATGCTGGACTTGGGGAGAAGCCAAATCCGTGAGTGATCTGATGAGTAGCTACAGACGTGTAAGAGACCGCAATTTGCAGCAGGAGAACCAAGTCATGGCCTTCAGCGAAGACGACCACAATCATAAGGTTAGTTCTACAATCTAAAATTTACGTGGATCGCAAACACACTGATTTAAAAATTTATTTACATAAATAGAAGTTTGTTTTAAAAAAATATTCAAATTGAAAATTAGCTTTAATAAAACGATATAGGTCAAGCAAACAGAGTATTTGAATATTCAGTAATATAAAAATGGAAGACAAAAACTAAATAAACTACTCGATTCTATAAACAGGTTGTACTAGATGTTCATGACTTCAAGAGTGGAGACGTTAAGGTCAGAGTGGAAGATAATCAGGTGGTGGTGGAAGGTCGAGTGGAAAAGGAAGAGGGCGACTTCAAGTCCATGAAAAGCTTCTGTCGACGTTTCAACTTCCCAGGCAAAGTGGACATGGAGGCCGTGACTTCCGCAATGTCTTCCGATGGCGGTTGACTGTCACGGCTCCGAAGATTCCACAGGCAGCATAGGAAAACATATTTCATTAACTGGAACTGTAATCTAATCTTAAAGACAATGTGTTTAAGGAGCTATTTATTGTTATTTTTGATAATGATAAAATAAATAATGATTTTGTTATTTTATGAATAAATTGTATTTGTTTACATATACGACTTTTCTTGCCTTCCCTTTTTGCGAAAATGTTTTGATAACAGATGGTTACCTAAGTAGGAAGTACTTGAAATGTATACACACATACATATGGTATGTTATAATCATCTTTCTATCTCTCTAAATGTACATGTGTGTTTGTGTGTTTCCGTGCGCGCGTTTGTACATATACATATCTGTACACTTATATTGTCCTCACACCAATACACACAAAGAATGTGTGTGTGTGTTCAGGCGCATTTTTGACCGTAAGATAATTCAAGAATTTTGACAATTCTCGAAACCTCCTTGTCAGATATCTTGGTCTGGTTTCGTAACCAAACATTTTCAAACTTCCTCTGCTACACTTTCATGACGTCACAACAGTAAACAAACCGACAACGTGACTGACGGAAATGAATGACAACGATGAAATTCTCGTAATGATTTACTTATTTTGTCGCCAATAGATTATGATATATACTAGCAAGTTGTTTTATCTACCAGAAGTTCAAGCTATTTATAACTGTATTATGGCTTTCCTGGGAAAGCCATAATACAAAGTGCGTTTTTATTTACCGATGTTATTTCCATTCTAAAAGTCGCAGTTGAAAGACCCATCTTTGTTATGAATGGTAGATATTATCCTTTTAGATTTGCTATAAAGTGTGTGGACGATTATTTTTTTTTTCATAACTTTTGTGCTACGCAATATGTATAAGATATTTTGAAATTCGTTTATCTTCTTCAGTAAATGTAAAACCACGACAAAAAATGATTTCTTCGTTGGTAATATCACTAACATTACTAACAGCATCCACTGTTCTCTTCTGCGAATAATTCTGTCACTCATCATCTCGCATTGCGGTCGTTTGTTTACATTGATAGCAAGCTGGAAGTTGGTTTGTGTTTGACGAATTCGGGAAGGCGAAGCAAACCAAACCAAACCATGGCTTGCTCGCGTTTCTCGTCAAAAGTGCGCCTTATGTGTGCGTGTGTGCGTATATATGTGCTTATTTGTATTCAAGATCTACATATATATGCATATCTCTATATGGGTGTATGTGTATATATGTATATATTTTTATATTTAAAAGTATATATATGTGTGCATGTGCGTGCATGCGTGTGTGTGTGTGTCAGTGCGAGTATGTGTTCTTGTGTCTCTATATAAATAATGACCATTCATGGAAAATATCTATAAGAATAATTACTATTTAGCATTTTTCGCAAGGTTTCACCGAAAGCAATAATTTTAGCTAAGTTGAGAACTAGAAGTTTCACGAGTTTCGAATGAAGATGTTGCCAAGTGCCATAGTCCCGCGTCCAGAAAGAGGTGGAAAGTGGGCGCACACCCAACTCGCGCCACATAAAAGCCTCAGCACCCGCCTCTCGCTAGACACAACAGAAACAACACTCGGAGAGAGAACAAAGCAAGCTGTAGCTTTATCTACATTTTCACGTCTTACTCTACCTTATTGAAGCGCTAAACAATAGAGAAAAATGGAGAACAAAGTACTAACGCCCTTCCTGAACAGAAACCAGAGGCTCCCGAATGCAAAGAGGATTCACTTCTCCCCATCGCTGAGAAGGGACTTTTCTTCCACGATTCCTTCTTCGAGGATATTCGGAAGCACTTTGAGACAGCCATCGACCAAATGCTGGACACTTGGGGAGAAGCCAAATCCGTGAGTGATCTGATGAGTAGCTACAGACGTGTAAGAGACCGCAATCTGCAGCAGGAGAACCAAGTCATGGCCTTCAGCGAAGACGACCAGAATCATAAGGTTAGTTCAACTATCTAAAATCCATGTTGTTCGCAAACTAATAATTTAAACATTTATTTACATGAATAGAAATATGTTTCAAAAACTTTTCAGATTGAAGATTAGGTTTTAAAAATACAGGCCACGCAAACAGAGTATTTAGATACTCATTAATAAAAAATGAGACAAAAACTAGTAAAAAATACTACTCGATTCTATATACAGGTTGTACTAGATGTCCATGACTTCAAAAGTGGAGACGTTAAGGTCAGAGTGGAAGATAATCAGGTGGTGGTGGAAGGTCGAGTGGAAAAGGAAGAGGGCGACTTCAAGTCCATGAAAAGCTTCTGTCGACGTTTCAACTTCCCAGGCAAAGTGGACATGGAGGCCGTGACTTCCGCAATGTCTTCCGATGGCGTGTTGACTGTCACGGCTCCGAAGATTCCACAGGCAGCATAAGAAAGCATATATATCATTAACTGTGATTGTAACATAATCTTAAAGACAATGTATGTTTAAGTAACTACTTATTATTTAGGATAATATTAAAAAGGATAAGACTTTTTTTTAATAAATTATATTTGTCTATATGCTTGTCAGACTTTACTTGCCTTCCTTTCTCTCGAACTTATCGAAAAAAGCATCGACTGTCATAGATTGCATAACAGATGGTTCTCCGAAAGTACTGAAGAAAAATCAACAGTACCAAATGCAAAGAGAAATCACCAGCTGTCACAGAGATTTCATAGCAGATGGTTCTTCGAAACTCTCGAGGAAAATACCTTTACCAAATGCAAAGATGATTCACTATTTGCAACTGTTGTGACCTGTGCCTTTGTGTCCCTTGATATAAACGATGGCAGCTTGAGAAAGCATATTTCATTAGCTGAAATAAGAAAATGTACGGTAAATTAACTTTTTGTTATTGTGGATAATGTTACATGAAATTATATATTATATATATATATATATATATATATATATATATATATATATATATATATATATATATGTATGTATATTATATATATATGTTTTTTTTTTATAGAATAGTTTTGTTTTGTAGTAAACGTAAATAGGATTGACCCGATTACTATGACCTATGCTTTCATGATTATTTTTCAATGAAATGAATCACATTGAATGTATGTATATACATAAATAAAAAAATTGATACATAGATAAACAGACACACATATATGTATGTCTCCGTGTACGCGTGCGAGTGTGTTCGTATTAGGCATTATATGTATATATTATGGATGTCTGCATGTGTGTATCTGTGTCCATACATATACTAATGTATATATGTGCATATATATGCACACACACACACAATATATGTATTCATGTATGTATTTACACATATGTGTAAACATATGTATACATATATGTATATATGCATATTTAATCCCTATATATACTTATATATATGCAGATATAGACATACATACAGATAGATATATACGTATATATACAAATATAAATGTATATATACATGTGTATGTTTATATATCTATATATATTTATATCTATATATATATATTTTATATATTCTATATATATCTATTTCTATGTCTATATATATGAATACATATATATCTATATATATCTATATATCTGTCTGCATTTGTACATAAACATACAGTGTATATATACATATATTGTCCTTATATACACACAAAGTATATTTGAGTGTGTGTGTTGGTATGTAATATTTACACATATATATACATACATATGTGTGCGTGTGTATATATATATATATATATATATATATATATATATATATATATATATATATATTATACACAGTGAACCCTCGCTATAACGCGGTTCACCTTTCGCGTTCTCGCTGCTTCACGGATTTGCATTGTGCATTGTGTTCTGCATTCTGATTGGCTAAACAGTTTCTCCGCTTCTTCTCTGCTTGTTTGTCAATAACGTTACGGTTTAATATGTACATGTACGTAAAACAGTTTGCCAAATTTAAGTTTGCAAATTTTCTCTAAAACCCATGAAGCATTCAGTTCGTATTGATGATTAAAATTATCATTTTGCAGTACAGTTGTTATTTGTAAAAAACGTTTATACAGTACTTTTATTTGTTAAACAAATGCTTGGGCCTGTAAAAGGTTTTGTTCTTTGGTTTCAAAGTATTGTAGAGTATTTCATTGTATAATAATTGTAAAAAAAATAAAGGTTACTACTTCACGGATTTCGCCTATCACGGGTTCTTTTTGGAACGTAACCCCTGCGAAAAGCGAGGGTTCACTGTATGCATTTGTTGTGTCTCAGTGTAAATGATGCCTTATAGATGATGGAAAATATCAGTTCATTACAATGCCCAGTAATGAAGCATTTGTCGCATGATTGGATCGTATGAATTCATCTTAGTTTGAGGACTAGAAGTTTCACGAGATTTCGACTCAAGATGTTGCCAAGCATGCCATGATCCCGCGTCCAGATGGAGGTGGAAAATGGGCGCACACCCAACTCGCGCCACATAAAAGCCTCAGCAGCCGCCTCTCGCTACACACAACAGAAATAACGCTCTTTGAGGAAAGAAAGGAAGCTCTTGCTTTATCTACATCACTGCAAGACGTACTCAATCTTACTAAAGTGATAAACGATAAATATGGAGATCAAAAATACTAACGCCCTTGCTGAACAGAAACCAGAAGTTCCCACATGCAAAGGGGATTCACTTCTCCCCATCGCTGAGAAGGGACTTTTCTCCGACGATTCCTTCTTCGAGGATATTCGGAAGCACTTTGAGACAGCCATCGACCAAATGCTGGACACTTGGGGAGAAGCCAAATCCGTGAGTGATCTGATGAGTAGCTACAGACGTGTAAGAGACCGCAATTTGCAGCAGGAGAACCAAGTCATGGCCTTCAGCGAAGACGACCGCAATCATAAGGTTAGTTCTTCAATCTAAAATTTACGTGGATCGTAAACACACTGATTTAAACATTTATTTACATAAATAGAAATTTGTTTAAAAAATATATTCAAATTGAAAATTAGCTTTAATAAAACGATATAGGTCAAGCAAACAGAGTATTTGAATATTCAGTAATATAAAAATGGAAGACAAAAACTAAATAAACACTACTCAATTCTATAAACAGGTTGTACTAGATGTTCATGACTTCAAAAGTGGAGACGTTAAGGTCAGAGTGGAAGGCAATCAGGTGGTGGTGGAAGGTCGAGTGGAAAAGGAAGAGGGCGACTTCAAGTCCATGAAAAGCTTCTGTCGACGTTTCAACTTCCCAGGCAAAGTGGACATGGAGGCCGTGACTTCCGCAATGTCTTCCGATGGCGTGTTGACTGTCACGGCTCCGAAGATTCCACAGGCAGCATAAGACTTATTTCATTAACTGAAACTATCATTTAATCTTAAAGACAATGTATGCTTAAGGAACTATTCATTGTTGTTTTTGGATAATGCTTATGCTCTTTTTTAAATAAATTGTATTTCTTTACATGTATGACTTTACTTGCCTTCCCTTTCCGCAAAACTGTTTGGATAACAAATGGTTACCTAGGTAGGAAGTACTAGAAATACACATGTACAAATTCAAATTCAAATTCATACCAATGGTATGTCTTTCTATCTTTCCGTCTCTCTATATATATGCATGTGTATGTGTGTTTGTGCGCGCGAGCGGTTGTACATATAAATATTTGTATACTTGCATTGTCCTCAAACCCATACACACAAAGTATGTTTATGTATGTAGAGGCGCATTTTTGACCGCAAGATAATTCAAGATTTCTTGAAAAGTCTTGAAACCTCCTTCTTGGTCTGGTTTCGTAACCAAACCAAGCATTTTCTAACTTCCTCCAAGAGGAAGTCTGCTACACTTTCAGGACGTCATAATGATAAAGAAACCGCCAACATGGCCGACAGAAATGAATGATAACGATGAAATTCTCGTGATAATTTACTTATTTTGTCGCCAATAGATGATAATATATACTAGCAATTTATTTTATCTACCAGAAGTATTAAATGGAGTATATTGATAGCTTTATTATTCTCAAGAAGAAAAGTCCTAGCTATTTATAACTGTATTTTGCCTATCCTGGGATGTTCGAAGTGCGCTTTTATTTACCCATGTTATATCCATTCTAAACTCGCAGTTTGGAAGACCCATCTTTGTTATGAGTAGTAGATAATAACCTTTTAGACTTTTCTTTTTTCATAACTTTTGTGCGGCACAATATGTAGATGATATTTTGAAATTATATCGTTCATCTTCTTCATTTAATGCAAAAGCACGACATGAAAAGATTTCTTCGTCGGTAATTTCACTGATTACTAACAGAGACCACTCTGTTTCCTTCTGCGAATGATTCTGTCACTCATATCTCGTATTGCTGTTGTTGTTTTTTTATATTGATAGGAAGCTGGGAGCTGGGTCTGCTTTTGAGGAATTCGGCAAGGCGAGGCAAACCAAACCAAACCATGGCTTGCTCGCGTTTCTCGTCAAAAATGCGCATTTTGTATTTGTGTGTACCTATGTGTGCTTATATATATATATATATATATATATATATATATATATATATATATATATATATATATATATATATATATATATATATATATATATATATATATATGAGTGTACTTATGTGTGCGTGCGTGTGTGTGTGTTAGTGCGCGTATGTGTTCTTATGTCTATATAAATAATGACCATAGAGATTTATCTGTTAAGTCGGTGGGATAAGGTCGGGCCATCATAAGTAGGCAATGAAAACTTCATCTCAACAGTTCTGTGTTTATACGTACGTACGTGTGCACTTTGAAATGAAATCATTAGAATTATTAGGAATTCAATATGCCTCTAATGGCTGTCATATCTTCAGATATATATGATTTTTTGTTGATTATTCATCTTTTCATAATACACATGAGCTTTACACACATACACACACTCACACATATAAATGTGCGTGTGTGTGTATAAATATACATATATAACCACACGCGCGAATAGTTTCATAACTTTTAACATGCGGAAAACATAGATAACAAG